TTTTAGACTATTACAACTATTTATTCAATTTCAACATTTTCAGACCATCTACATTATACATTTTTAGACTATTACAACTATTTTATTCTATTACAAGATATTCAAACTATCAACGACATTTTTAAACTGACAACAACATTTTCAGACTATCTACATTCTACATTTTCAGATTATCTACATTCTTAAACATTTTTAGACTATTACAACTATTCTATTCAATTTACAACACTTTCAGGATATCCACAAACTTTTTTTTATTTTGACGATTTTATTATTTTCAGATAATTTATAACTATTTACAGACTATCTACGACATCTTCAGACTGCTTACTTTATTTTTTTCTTTTATATTTATTTATTTATTTATATTTTGTAACATAAAGTAATTCTACAAGATTAATTTGATGTTATTGTTATCCGGTTAAGAAAAATAATTTAAAACATTTAAAAATTATTTAGTAAATCCTTTCAGATCCATATCTCTAAATGCAATTATATATTTAGAGATATTCATTTATTTAAGAAAGGAATAGTAATCGGTGAGACAATTACCAACCATTTGTTTATGGATTTCTCAAACAAAGGGTGCTGAATCACTACAATATATACATCTTTATTTATTATTCAGAGAAAAAATTAAGTAAAATCTAATTTATAAATTAATAATATTAAAAACTGATTGATCTGATTAACAAATAAGATGCTTGTTGACTTAAAATAAGATTTTTTTAAATCTAGAATTTTATTAATTGATTATTCAGCTTTGTAGAACCTTCTAATTAACATATTACTTTTTTATATTTTGCCATTAGTATAAGTTCATTTAATATTCTATTTCATATTTCTATTTCCAGCAAGTCGATCTCTGCAGCATAAACATGTCCCTCCTGTCCAACGAGACCACTATATCAGCTTTTGTAGCCCACCGAATGTCCAGACTTTGCACTCCCAGGAAACTTATAGAAGAGATGCCAATGCCAACGCGCAGCGGCCGAAATAAAAGCTCCTGCTGCTCCTTACAGGCTATTTTTTAGTTTTGCAGAGGGCGCACCAGGAGAGATGAGAGAAACAAATCGTTCATAATGAAACTGTTGCTGTTGGCACCAGTCCGGCTGTTAAGATGATCAAACAGGATAAAGGTAAGATAAATGGAACAAAAAAATTTTAGAAATGAATTGTAACAAAATAATATGTAATGATGCAAAGTAACTTAGGTGTATTTTGTAATTTTTTGGTTTCTTGTTGCAGATGAACCAATAGACAACAGAATACTTAGAGGTAAATCAAATTATTATTATTAAAATTATTATTTTAATCTATATAATATATATTTAGAGCTTCTTCAATATTTTCATTACACTGATTACATTTTAGTTAATATTTATTTTATTATTTATTTTAGAAGAACACTTGTCAGGAATTGCTGCAGCAGTAAACTTGCAAAAAGAAAAAATGGTAAATAATGATGCATTTATAAATTACTTTTGAAACATGTATTATTTTATTAATTAATTTTATTTATCATTTATTCTCAATCTACTTAATAATCGATTCTTTTAGCTGGAAAAATTTATCTAAATCACATTCGAGGAACAGTGAGATTACATCAGGTGTGTATAAATATTGACTTCATTACCTTATTTTATTTTCATCAACAATTTGTTTATATTTTGGTAAATTCTTATTTTGCAGTATTTATATTTATTTATTTATTATTAATTTTACAAGCCGTCGGTATAATATTTAATATTATATAATGCTTAAGTCAATTTTATAGGTTTTATATAATTTATTAATTATTAGCTATTTTATTACTTAATTTATTTACTATAAACTTATTATATTTAGTTAATTATAATTATTTTTAAATATAACTAGTTTGTTTGTGGCAAGTATTTTTTAAAAATTTAATAAGTATTTTAATAAGCTTTAAAATACTTTTACAATATTAACAAATTTAGGTTATTTTATGATATTTTAACAAATTTAAGTGTCTTATATTATTGTAATTATTATTATTATTATTATTAATAATAATATTATCATTATCATTTTTATTATTATTGTAAATATTTTTACATTTTTTTTTTCTTTTACAAATTTTTAGGTATTTTGATGAAGGAAATATTTTGTATCACAATTTTTAAGTGTTTTTAAAATATAGGTTTTTGGTTAACTAACTAATTTAAGTTTTTAACAATAACAGTCAAAAAAAAATTAAAATTTTGTTTCATATTTTAAAGTGTTTTAAATTATAAGTTTTTAGTTAACTAATAATAATCATAATAACTAATAATCATTAGTTTGAAGTCACATATGTGTTAATCACTCCTTAGTTGCTCCAATATACTTCTACAAATTACTAATTCTATCAATTCTTTCTATTTCAGTCTTCTCCTGATTCATCAAACCAGTCACCGAACAACACAACTCCCAACAATGGTTTGGCATCAGGTTGCACAACCAGTCCATCAGCTGTTAACAATGGCGGTACCCCAAATAGTAATAATACCAAAAATGAACACAGTTCTGCAATTTTAACTGCAGCTCTGGTGCAACAAGTGAGGCAGATGAGTCCGTCCAAAAACAGTGGCAGGAGTAAGAAAAGTAAGACTAAGAGGCTTGATGAGGAGGTTGTCAGATCCGAGTTCTTCTTGGTGAGTGGAAATTGAATCTTGATATAATTTAAATTTGTTGAAGTTCAAATTTTATTATTTATTCTTTTCTTGCAGAGTGATAGGGAGAATCAGAAGACAATCCGTCGCAAAAACCGTCTATCCTGGCTCCATTACGTCAACAGGCGAAAATGTCGAGCTTATCCGGTCTATGGAGAGGATCTTCGTTTGGCTTTTGACACTCTGAGGTCAAACAATCTTTATAAAGTAGCCATAGTCTCCAAATCTCATCAGGACAGGAGCAGGTCAAGAAATAGCAGGAAGCAACGTACAGAAAGACCCACAAATTGGCTTTGCGACGGATATGTTAATTGCATAACAGCAGTTGATAGCAAATTGGATTTGACACTCAAATCCTGGATCAGGAGTTTTGAAGATCGGGCCAATGAGATAATTGATTATTGCCAAAGGTAAAGGACATAATATTTTATATATCTTTTATAATGCAAAGAATTTGATTGATATGATAGGAGAAATATATGTTTTGTGGAGAAAATGCAATTAAGAAATGTTTAGATAAATTTGCACTGAATGATTATCAGCAATTGCAATTTAATATTGCTCCTTGCTTTCGGAGCAGTGCTAGATAATAATTAAGGCATGAACCGACGAATTTCACAAGGAATTTATTTTTGTGATTTTTCTTTTTAGTGCCACATTTTTTAAAAATAAATTATTTATCTATTTATTTATTTAAATATATAGCCCACAGATTTCTCCAAGAGGACTCAAAAATACAATTATTTTACATAATAAATAACAATTAAAATATATACAAAATTACAATATATAGCTATTAACATAAAATGCTTAACATAAAGTTACATATAATGCAGAATGTAACAATATTATTTATAAACAGAATAAGATAAAATAATGAGGTATTTGAAAAGAAAATAAAAAGGTTAACTTGTGCAGATGGTGATTATTTGATTAGGTGAAGTGTTGTGAATATTTATTTCATTATTAATTAAGTTAAAGTTAGGGGACATAAGTAAAATAGGCGAATTTAAGAGAGAATTAGATTTAGGAGTAGGATAATTGAAAAATAATTGTGAACGCGTAGATAGCCTTGGAACATTAAAGGATAGTTGATTAAGAATAAGAGGACAGTCTATAGAATTATTGCAAAGTTTAAATAAGAACATAATTGTACAGATAAATCGTCATGAGGCAAGGGAAGGAATACCAAATTCTTTTAGTAAAGTGTTGTGGTCAAAGCCACATTCAGGGTAAATTTTATATGTTTTATAATAAGATATTTCAGAAATTTCGCTGAACCTTCTTTATCGCATCAGTGTTGTTGATTTGATGAGGATACCAAATAATCGAACCATATTCTAATTTTGAATGTACAATAGAATAGTACATGCAAAGAAGTGCATTGTTAGAATTGAATTGTTTATAATTTCTCAGTATCAAACCTAAAGATTTATGTGCTCTATTACAAATATCAGTTATATGATCCGTGAAAAACAAACCAGAATCAAATAGAACTCCTAAATCTGAAATTTTATTACATCTATCAATGCTGGTGTTAGAAATTTTATAATCAAAATGTATTGGAACGCGCTTATGTGAAAAACTAAGAATCTTGCACTTTGATATATTTAAATGTAATTTGTTATAGACACACCAAGAGTGGAAAGAGTCAAGTTGAGACTGTAATAATAAGCAGTCATCAATAGAATTTATTTTGAGATATAGTTTGAGATCATCTGCAAATAATAAATGTGGACAGCTAATAATATCAGATATGTCATTAATAAAAATAATAAATAGTTTAAAACATTCATATTGTTAGAAATTGTGGTGATGAGTCCTGAAGAACTCAAGAAAACAACTTAATAAAATTTATGGTTCTGAAGAACCATTACCCTTATATCTTTATTACCTTGATTACTTTTCAAAAAGCTCTTCAGGTCGCACCGTTTGCATTGCTATGTTAAAATTTTAACATATGGTAGTTAACAGCACATGCTGTAACTCCTCAAATTAGTAAATAAAGTAATTAGTAAAATAATTAATGCCACTTACACCTATTTTCTTCTTCCAGCTACGTCATGTTTGTCCAGCCAGCCCTTGCCCTCAGCACCCAGGTCATGGTGTCCCACCCATCTCCATCTAGACTGAATCAAGAAAGACTCTTCGAATCTTCTTTGACACCTCTTGCCAAAAAATCATTAGTGGCTCTGCATCCGATACAGTCAGCAGGAGCTGTCAAGTTTCCTGAGGCTCGTCTGGTGCAATACGATTGCGGAAAATTACAAATTTTAGATGGATTGTTGAGGAAACTGAAGAGGGAAAGTCATAGGGTGCTAATCTTCACACAGATGACCAGGATGTTGGATGTCTTGGAAGCATTCTTGAACTATCATGGACATGTTTATTTGAGGCTAGATGGTACCACTAAAGTTGATCAGAGACAGGTAAAAGGTAGAAAGGATTTATAGATTTTTACATACAGTTTAATACTAATCATGTGTCATTTTCCTCCAGGTTCTTATGGAAAGATTCAACAACGACAAGCGCATTTTCGTTTTTATTCTATCAACCCGATCAGGTGGTGTCGGTGTCAACCTTACAGGTGCGGACACCGTCATCTTTTACGATTCGGATTGGAATCCCACGATGGACGCTCAGGCTCAGGATCGTTGTCACAGGATAGGACAGACTAAGGATGTTCACATCTACAGACTTGTCAGCGAGAAGACAATCGAGGAGAATATTTTGAAAAGGCCAACCAGAAGAGGCTGCTCGGCGATTTGGCTATCGAGGGCGGCAACTTTACGACTGCATACTTCAAATCGGTAAGGATAATAGATACATGTGTATTATTGAAATAATATGTATCATTTTTAACTAAACATGAACACAGGAAGGAAGAAAAATAGTAATATATTGAATATTTTAGATGATGTTTAAAGAATTCAGCAAACACTTTTGTTTGTCTTCTTACTTAAATTAATGTTTTCTTCGTTTTTTTTTCAGCAAAACACCATTCAGGATCTCTTTGCTGTTGACTCAACCCAGGATGATGCTTCTCAAAGGATGGCAGAGATTTTGGAGCAGAATAAGCAGAGGATGGAAAAACTGTCTAAGAGTGATTCAGCTACGGGTTTGCCTTTGGAGAAGGTAATTAATTAACCATTAATATCTTAAAGAGAAATTTATTTCTTGACAGAAAATCTAATTTTATAATTTTATATTCATAGTTATTCTGATTTGTTTATTCTTAAAACAATTGTGAGTATTAATTCTATCCATTTTCCTTTTCCAGACCGCTGCAGGAGCCCTGGAGTCTGCGATGAACCAATGCGAGGACGACCAGGACGCGATGGCGGCGAAAACTGCGACCGCCGAGATGTCTGCTGATCTGGAGGAGTTTGACGAAAGCATTCCAATAAATCAAGAAAACAACGAAGGATTGAGCAAGGCTGAAATTGAAGTACGGAGGCTTTTGGAACAGGTAATAATTGATATAATTTCAATATGGGTGCAAAGAAGTTTTTAACTTCCCGAAGGAGAAGTTTATGTTTTCATCAAAAAATCCGACTCGCTAATTTTATGTTTTCTCGACGTTTCAAGCCATTCTGAATCGAATGAGACCAAATTTGGAAAAAGTATTGTGTGCGCGTGTGCGTGTGCACCAACAGATTTTTTGCCGTAAATCGACGTTTTCTCAAAAACGGCTGGGCCGAGTTCAAAAATTTAAAAGCCATTCGATGTATCTCGATGAGGACTATTGTTTGTCAGTTTTGTGCGGCGATCGGCCAAGCCGTTTCTTCGTAAATAACAGAGAAGTGAAAAGTTTTTCGTCCACGTTTTAGCCCGCAATTCTGAATCGATTTTGAAAATTAAAAAATCGTTCGAAAGATATTGGTTGGGAATCGACCTGATTAGTTTTTTGGTAGAGATCGGCCGGGCCGTTTTCTTGTAATAAAGTTTAAAAAAAAAAAAATCGACGATTTTTATGATTATTTTTTTGACGGTTGATACCATAGTCTTCTAGATCATACTAAAATATTACGGCCCTACAACAACTCGTTTAACTTTAAAAATTCGTCAAAGTTTGCAAAAATTGGTATCGTTTTTTTGGCATTTGTCAAAATTAGACCTTTGATCGACGTTTTCTCAAAAACGCCTGAACCGATTTTAGAAATTTAAAAGCCATTTGATGTATTTCGGTGAGGACTATCGTTTGTCAGTTTTGTGTGACGATCTACCAAGCCGTTTCTTTGCAATTTGAAAGAAAGTGTTAAACTTTTCGTCCACATTTAAGCTCATTCTATCGAACCGATTTTAAAAAATTAAAAACTGTTCGAAAGATATTAGTTGGGAATAGTACTGATTAGTTTTAGGTGAAAATCTACCAAGCCGTTTTCTTGTAATTAACTGTTGAAAAAAAAAATTTAAGCCGATTTTCATGGAACTTTTTTTGGCGATATACATCGTGGTCTTATAGAACTTACTGTAATATTGCGGCCTTACGACAAGTAGTTTAATTTGCTAAACTTGTCAAACTTTGCTAAAATCATTATCGTTTTTTTTAAAAAGTAGGAATGATGAAGTATATTATTTACACATTTTTTTCTTGATTAAGTCGATTATTTAAACATATCGGGAAGTTCATGTAACTTGCTTCAAGGCTAAATACCAAACCGACTAGTTGTATGATGTATTTATACTGTTTTTTTTTTCAGTTGAATCCTTTAGAAAAATACGCGATGAATTTCCTAGAACAGCACGACGGCGGTTGCTTCTCCGCGGAGCAACTGGCTTTGGCTGAAGCAGAAATTGAGGAAAAACGTTTAGAATGGGAAAAGAATCGTCTGGAAGCCCTGAGACAGGAGCAGATGGAATTGGACAAACGGAATGCCCAAGACGATGAGAACTATCAGAACTCACCCTATTCAGCAAACGATTTGACGTATCCGCGAGATGATGCTTTGAATCAGGTTAATGAAACAAACAATTCTTCTAAGATTGGTAGAAAGAGGAATAGAGTTAGATTGAAGAGGAAGTTGAGGAAGAAAGCTAGAATTAATACCAATGACACTGTCGAATCAACAGTAAACGACGACAGTAATGTGTCGACATTGAATGATGACTCAAAGTCCGCGATGGACGCATCAGACGATGATTTGCCAGTGTCATCATTTAGAAATAGCAGCGTTGTCGAAAACAACACGTCCGATTCTAAACCAAAAACTTTAACCAAACTCATAAATTCCGATGTCAACAGTCCCAGGACGCGTTCGACAGGTAAAATCCCTTTAAACCTTTGGACTTTAGACGTCAGTCCAATCCTGCCAGGTGTAAAACCTGTCGTAAACAAAGTGACAAAGAACGGTCCCGGTAAATTAAAAAATAGCAAATTAAAAAGTAAGAATAAGAATTTCAGTGGCTTTAAATCGGTTAGTGATACTAATTTAGACTTAAGCTCAGATTTAGATAGTGATGATGATAGTTGGGTGGATGATAAATGTGAAACGAATGATTCTAATAATAAGAATAGTTTAAATAAATTAAATAACACTGTTGTATTAGACGCTTTGGATACGGAGTTAATAATTAATAACGCGTGCACGAAATTATTGAACGACAATCACATCTCGAAGATGGATGAAGTTTGTTTAGGGAACGACTCTGATCTCGGCATTGAGAGGCTACCGAAAAAAGTAGAAGATGAATCATCGACCGAAATTGATTCATCGACACAATCGGTTATTAATGTAACTCAGAGCAATGGTTCTTCAAATAAAATAAAAAGCAGGTCGAGAAAATGGGCGATCATGCCTAGTAATAATAGAACTTTGGACGGTTGGCTGGTTAAGTCACCTAAAAATATAAGTAGGGAGAACTGCACGGAAAATAATATTTCTGGTAATAAAAGTATTGTAGGGAAAACCAAAACTAAGAAGTTTCTGAAACAGACTTCGGACGATATTATGATTAAACGGAAAACGAGACAATCGGTGTCTTTGGCAAAGAGTGAAGGGAAATAGTTAGTTTTGGTAATTTAATTTTTGTATGTACATAATTATGAAACACACACATACATATATATATATATCCTGGATTCCCTGAAAAAATCCTGGATTTCAAAATATTTGGTTTCTTGAATATTTCTTGCAAATGTTTTTAAAAAATTTTCCACCGCTGGGTTTTTTTTGTACAAAAAGAAAATAACTAATGTAACTATATTTATGACGAACTATAATAATGAATTATGGTATGATCAAATTATTCATTAATTTTTAAATAAATTTAGTTTTGGACAAAAAAAAACTGGTGATGGGACTTAACTAGTTCTGATACCTGAAAATTTTCAAAAGAATTATATATATATATATATATATATATATATATATATATATATATATATATATATTTGTATGTGTGTATTATAAACAAGTACATTCAATTTTTTTATTCAAATAATTTCAGAATATAATAAAGTGTCATTCATGAAATAATAAGAATGAATATGAATTCAATTATCGGACGTCCCGAGTTTTCGACAACGTTGCTTTTAAGAATGATACATATTTTTTAATGTTAAAAACATTTGTATGTAACTTGTATATATTTTGTTAGAAAAGCAATAATCGATGCGTTTTATAACATTATTTTGGTCCTACTTAATTATGAAGGCATCGATTTTTGTTTTCTTACCTCTGAATGAAAAAGTGGATAAAATTTGCCAAAATAAATGAAGGGATAATGAAGTGTTTTACGTATTAAAAGACTTTTTTAATTAAAATCAGTGTAATTATTTATTTGTTTAGACAATTGTTGTACAGAACGATTTTAACCGTACCGCAAGGGCTAAAACTTGAAATGTATAAATGGAAATTAATTTTTACTCGTTGTATGATAAATTATGTAAATGTATTTGTTTAAGTTATTTAAGATTTAGTATTAATTATGATTATTATATATTAAAATTTATTATCATGGAAAAAAATGTGCAAGATGAGAATTTAAAAAAAAAAAAACTGAAACTGAAATAAAAATGCATTGCAATTGTAGAAATGTTTTTTGAGTGATATTTTTCCTTGCCTTGGCTAATATTTTGTATATTATATATACAATTATTTATAAAATCGTGTTCGCGGTTGGAAAGGGATAACTCTAAATTTTTGAGTTTTTATTCAACAATAAATTTAAAATGAGTGTTTGTAACCAAGTATATATGTTTATATGTCTTCTTCCAACATATATACATATATATTATTTTTGGTGTCAAAAAAACTTTCAAAGTGTGTCTTTGCTTTGTTATTAAGTCTCTTTAAACAACAAAATTTGGTCGTTTACACAAAAAACATTGAAATGGCAAATTTATTATATTTATTTTATATTATTTTTTTTTTATAAAAATTGGCACCAAATTTTGGATGTTTGTGATGAAAACATAAAAATTAAG